CACCCGACACAAGGTCTCGCTATGCAGACTCAGACTGACTCTGAACTCACTATACAGCCCAGGCCAGCCTCAAACTTGCAGAGATCCTCCTGCCTCGGCCTCCCAAGTGCTGAGATTACAGGCGTGTGCCAACATGTAGGCTAATCTCTTCTGCTAATTACAGGGGAATCCTAATCCAGCACAGCAGCTGCTGTCAGCCATCCAGAAACATACCTGATAGCCCCTGTCATCTGCCACAAGAAAAGGAATCAGCTGTTCGGTGACAACCTAAGATTTTTTTTCTCACCTGGAATAATCAATACCTTTGAAATATTTTGTAAATATAGTCTGCCAAAAAAAAATCTATACACAGTTAAGGAAAAGAAAAATAGTACGTTTCTTTCAACAGATGCTGTTCCTCTCGTTTGGAGGACCCTAGAGGGTGTCATTCATCACGAACAACCCACTACAGTGCCGGGCCTGGAGCAGAAATTGAAAACACGTGCGGTTTGCTGTGCTAGTAAGTGTCTGGAAGCTGATGGCCGTCCGTTTCAGCTCCTCTGGTAACTGCAGAGGCCAAAGGTAACTTGTGCTAATCTCACGATTTCTCAATACAGTATTAAAAATACTTATACGCGTTTCTCTCCGGAAGCGTACATACATTTCTTTGGCGGACTCTCCATACAGCACAGTAGGGTTCTTTCCACCCCACAGACATGCAGTGCTTCCTATGTGGGCCAAACTCTTTTACTGATGTGTGCTGCCAGCAGGAGCTGAAGGAACTGACCTTACACGGTCTCCACCCCGCACAAACACACTCACTGCAGTAACGCAGCACCATGTATGCACCAAACGTCTACGGAAAAGCTCCTACGTGGTAGCCATTCACTTCAGTACCAAGTTCAAACTGAAGAAAACAGGGTGCTTCCTTCATGAAGGTCACATTATGACGGAAGTAGGGTATTTTTTTGTTTGTTTTTTGTTTTTTTTTCTGGTACCAGGAATTGAACTCACAACCTTGCACTTGCCAGGTAGGCGCTGGGCCGCTGAGCTACATCCCCAGCCCCTTATGACAGAAGTAGAAACAAAAAGGCAAATAAATTAACTCCTATCAGAATGGGATAAGTGCTACAAAGAAAAAATAATGTGGGAAGAGGAGACAGACACCAGGACGTGGCTAGCGCTGGAGCACTCGCCTAGCATGAGCGCGGCTTAATGCGTTCCCGCCACCTGGAGCCACGGTGGTACAGGCAGGACCGGCCCGGGCCGGCAGCCGGCAGCGAGACAGCAAGACAGCAATTACGGCCCTGCTGGGGACTGTTACTCCCAGGGGGAGGGCGGGGGACTGCGGGTGGGAGGAGCTCCTCCCTTCCGGAGGACGCAGCTGAGCGCAGTCAGGAGGCACCACACAGCAGTCCTGACACAAGAACATCCTGTGCAGCGGAAGAGCACCAAGACACAGCGCCGGGGGCATCAGGGTGCAAGGCCGGGGAGGGCTGGAAACACGAGCAACAGCACACGCGTGGTCTTGTACAGCCAGAGGACCACGAGTTCATTCACAACGCTCTGGGTAGCACAGTGACATGCTCTGCCTGGAAAGGACCGTTAGTTCGCCTATATACAGAAGAAACCACGCGGAGAACAGTGGGGGCGGGTGCGGTGGCGTGCAACACAGTCGCACACTCAGGAGGCTGAGGCAGGACTGCTGCAAGTTCAGGCCAGCCTGGGCTACACAGCAAGTTCAGGCCAGCCTGAAAGCAATGGAAGAAAGGAAGCAAACCCAAAGACGCACTCGCTTCCGCTGCCCATGCCACTGTGTCACAGCCTCCACCACTAATGGAACCGCTCCACAGTTACTTAATCCAGCACCTTGGACCTCTCAGCCATGCTACAGCACTCTCTAGTTACTAAAACCTTGAGGTGCAGCTACAGGAACCAGGGTACACCGCCTCAGCCTGCCACCGTGCTGGAAGGATGGGCTCACTGCCACGCTGGCTGATCTGTGCTTTCCTCATGGTGTGATACTCCTGACACCGGTTCTCAATCTAGGTGACACACACTGAAGTACACTGGGTGATTCAAAACAAACACACCTAGCTCAAACTCCGCTGGAATCTCTGAGGCTGGGGTTTGTATTTTTTTAAAAAGCTCACCAGGTCATTTCAATGGACAGCTCAGCGGTGACAGCACTGCTTTATATATGTTTTACTTATACTACCAGACTCACCCATCTCTAATTTAAGTCAAAACATGTATAATTAAAACTACTGGCTGGGCGTGGAGGAGTACGCACTCGGGAAGCTGAGGCAGGAGGATTGTTTCAAGTTTGAGGCCAGCCTGGGCTAAAAAGTGAGCTCAAGGTCAGCCTGAACTGCAGAAAGAAACCCTATCTCAAAAAGACCAAAAAAAACTACTGGCCCAGCCGGGCATGGTGACACACGCCTGTAATCCCAGCACTTGGGTGGCTGAGGCAGGAGGATCATTACTAGTTCCAGACTAGCCCAGGGTACAAAGTGAGCTCAAGGTCAGCCTGAACTGCATAGTGAGACCCTGTCTCAAAGACCAAAAAAACAAAAAAACAACAAAAAAACTACCGGCCCAGCATTTTTAAAAATCAGATTTTAATATCCCGTGTGATAATGTTCCTACTCGGAGACAGAACATCCAAAACAGACAGTGTTCTAGGTGTGAACAATACACACAGCTTACCTCTCTGACATCCACCATCCACCCGCCATCGACGAACAGCAAGACATTGTACATCTTCTCCTTGACATCAGCAGTTAGGGCGTCCAAGTGTCCCTTCCAGATATCATAATCCATCTGCAAAACAAATATAAAGGCAGGCATAATGAGCAAAAATCAACAGGTAATGTTTTCAGACCCTATCCTCCCACACCTTTTTGGCGGTCTTTGGGAATACACCCAAGGCCTCAGGTATGGTAGGCAAGTGCTCTACCACAGTTACATCCCCAGCCTCATAATGTATTATTAAAGTACACACAAGAATACACAAACGCAATATAATTCTTAAAGAGTTGGGCAGGCGTGGTAGTGCATGCCTGTAATCCCAGCACTTGAGAGGCTGAGGCAGGAGCATCACCTTGAGTTTGGGGCCAGCCTGGGCTACACAGTGAGATTCTGTATCAAAAACCCAAAACCAAAACCAGACGAACAAAAGAAAGATTACAGCAATTAAAAAAAAGAGCTGGCACTTCAGCTGGTCAAACAGAAAAATAATTACCAACAGACAGCAGTCACACAGATAATGAAATGTTAGCTATAAATAAATGTGTATGTTACCTGAAGGGATTCTGCAAAATGAACTGCCAACAGAAAGGTAATTAAACAGTTTCTTTTCCAAAGCAGAACATTAACAAGACCTCCTGTTATAATCAGACTATCACAGGTGGAAAATGACCTCTTTAAGTTCTAACACACCTTACAGAACGCAATAAGCTCATTCCCGATCCACATCCAACTTACTTCATATTTCTTTTCTTTATGCTCGTATGCTATTTTCTCAGTAAAGCTTGGCTGGGATACCAAAGTAGGTTTTTGTGGAGCCGCGTTCATATGGTTAAACCACTCAGTGAAGGTTTCATGGGCTTCCTGCGATGCAAATTTTTAAAAAATGTAAAGAAGGTTTTTACTTTTCTTCAACAAAAGCTTTTAAAGATTTGGTTCTTAGAAATAATTTTATAGCATCAAGAAACAGAACTGTTTAATATTTATTTTTTACACACATCCACAAATCTCTGTGAATGTAAATGTTTTATCAAATGAGAAACACCAGCGAGGTCTATACACCGTGTTTATGGCGTCTTCTCCAGCCTCGGCACCTTGATCTCGAATGTACCTTGCGAGTGATCGC